GAATGCCTGAGCCTTGTAGTTGCAAATATTTTTGAGCTCTTGGTATTTATCTAGGGCAGTTTGCATTTTATCCAGTAGGAAGTCTAACTCATCACACCCAAGGAGATACTGAAATGTATTGTTTACCACATGATATCCTGCACCAGCTGCAATCAAAAGTAGCAAGATGTGTGTGTCTGGCTGCCCCTTTTCTTGGAGGTATCTCAAGAAGCAGCCAAGAGACAAGCTGACCTCGTAAGTCACCTTCCTTTGAGCTTCCTCCACTGATTCTGTGGATTCAGACTTGGCCTTTACTTCCATAAGGTCATTCTGGTTTTTTTTAAAGATTTTAATTAATTCAGAAAATTGGGTGATATTGACATTCTCTTCCTCTGGTTCTGACTGAAATATCCACTGCATGATGGAATGAGCCTGAGGAAAGTTTGTCACTTTGTAGATGTGAGGATCCAAAAGGCTGTATAACTGAGATTTAATAAATTTAGTTTCATATATGGAATACTTTTTGCAGAAGTTGACAGTGTCTACCAGAAAATTCTGCAGACCCCTATCTGTGAGGCATATATTAGTCCAAGTGTTATAACTTTTTATTTTTTCACTCAATCTTTGCATGAAATTTATCAGCTTTTTAAGCTGCTCTTCAGGATCAGATATGTCCCAGGATTTCACATCCTCTAGGAAAAGCCTAGCCTCCTTCTCAACACTCAGTAATTCTTCTCCCTCCTGGATCTGGGCAGTAAGACCAGTCAGAGCAGTGTAGCTGTCTTTCAGGCAGTTAGCTACCTGATGAGGATCCTTAAAATCGCTTCGGTGGCTGGTGTGGATGATGTCCCAGACAGGCACCAGCTGAATTCCCCGGTCAATGACACACCAGGTTTGATTACTGGCAACTAGGCCAGCTTTCCACTGTGAAAGGCCATTTGCTTCTGGTGGGCCACCTGTCTGGGCCACAGATAATTGGACTTTGGTTTGGAGATTTTGGAAGGTTGTTCTCTGAGAGGCTGTTTTTGAATGAGAGTCTGACACATCCACACCTGCAGCAACATTCACTCCAAAGCCACTGTAGCTGCCCCTTATGTAAATATCCAGGGCCTCTGCAGCTTGCTGTTTCACTTCTGCCAGCTGCTCACTTTGGAAGCCCTCTGAAATGGCTTTCCACCAGTAGATTCCTCCCAAGTGCAGAGGGCCCTGGTTAGCATGAGAGCCAAACCTGTGGAAGAAGGCTTCAGTCCTGCGCCTCAGCAAGGGAAGTTTGTCTGGGTCTTCTGGCTGACCTGAAAGGTCTTCAATGCATTTCAGTTCCTGTAGAGCAGCCTTGGAGAGCTGGAGCTGGTCAGTGGGAAAGTGGCAGGAGGCCAGTGGGATGTAGCTGAACTTGGTTGAGCAGAAGTAAGAGTGCTTAGAACGTGACTGTTGGGTTTCCTTGGATTCTGAATGTTTGCTCTGATTCATAGCAGCTTCCAGGCTAAATCCCCAACCTCCACCCTTTGCTGAGGCAGTTACACTGAAGCCCAGCTTCTCTACAGCCTGGGTGAACATGGATTCTTTTTGAGAAGATGTAAACTCCTTTGTTTCCATCCGTGTACTCTGCTCAGGGCCACGGAGGGAGAACTCCTTGGGGACACCGAGTAGCTCCTCTTTCTTCTCTATCAGGCCCATTTGATTACTGGTTTTGTAAATTCCCTGAAGGGCTAGTCCTCCAGATGCATGTCGCACCAGCTCTCTATCTGGAAGGTTCTTTCTGTGAGACAGTGTCCCCTCCATAAGTTTGAGTTGTCCCAGCATGTTTTCCATGACGTCTCTTAGGGACTTTTCAGGATGTGGCCAGAACTCTTTGGGGATCTCCATTGCCTGCATCAGCTCTGCTTCCTTTTTCCTCACTGCCTCTTCCTGTCGCTGCCTCCCTTCTGCCAGCATCTCTCTTAGCTCCTGCAGTGCCTGTTCTGCCTGCTTCTGCCTTTTCTTTATTGTTTCCACCTGAGACTCCTGTAACTCTGAAAGAGTATTTGAGTATGACAGGTTAAGCAGCTTCTCCAGGGCCCTTTTCTCCCAGGGATGTTGTGCCTGGGATTGCAGCTTCTGGAGTTCTTTTTCTTGTAGGTGTTGTAAGGCTTGGGCACAGGTCACACCCAGATGTTCCTGCAGCTTGGGCAACCAGTACTCAACTGCCAATCCTGCTTCTCTCAACATCTCTTGGAGATCTTGCCCATTTTTGTCTCTGAGCAGGAGCTCATTAGGGGTAGACTCTTCTGTGTCCATGGCTGTGGGACAAAAAGACACTCATTTAGCCTTTGGCATGTTCATATACAGAACTCTGTGATTAATTTGCAGAAACCTGATGCTTTTCTATACACTAATAATGAACTATCAGAAGAAGAAATTGAGGAAGCAGTCCCATCTATGATCACATTAAAAAGAATAAAATATCTGGGAATAAACTTAATCAAGAAGGTGAAAGACCTATACTCTGAAAACTATAAATACCGATGAAGGAATTTGGAAATGAGACAAAGAAATGGAAAGATATCCTCTGTTCCTGGATTAGAAGAATTAATGTTGTTAAAATGTGCATACTACGCAAAGCAATCTATAGATTTAATGCAATCACTATCAAAATACCCATGACACTTTTCACAAAAGCAGAACAGATAATCCTAAAATTTACTTGGCACCACAAAAGACCAAATTGCCAAAGCAGTCTTGAGAAAAAAAGAAAGCTGGAGGTATCACATTCCCTGATTCAGACTATACTACAAAGCTACAGTAAGCAAAACAGCATGGTACTGGTCTAAAAACAGACACATAGATCAATGGAACAGAATAGAGAGCCCAGAAGTATATCTACACACTTATGGTCAGTTAATCTACAACAAAAGAGGTAAGAACACAATGGAGAAAAGACAGTTTCTTCAATAAGTGGTGCTGGGAAAACTGGACAGCTACATTAAAAGAATGAGATTAGCAAAAAATGGGCAGAAGACCTAAAAAGACATTTCCCTGAAGAGATGGCCAACAAGCATGTGAAAAGATGCTCAACATTGCTAATTGTTAGAGAAATGCAAATCAAAGCCACAGTGAGGTATCACCTCACACCAGTCATAATGGCCATCATCAAATAGTCTACAAATAATAAATGCTGGAGAGGGTGTAGAGAAAAAGGGAACACTTGTATACTATTGCTGAGAATATAAGTTGGTTCAGCCACTATAGAAAAGATTGTGGAGGTTCCTCAAAAATTAAAAATAGGACCACAATATTGTCCAGCATCCACTTCTGGATATAATCCAAAGGAAGTGAAGACAGGGAATTGAAGAGATATATGCACTTCCATGTTTATTGCAGCATTATTCGCAATAGCCAAGATATGGAAACAGCCTAAGTGTCAGTCCATGGCTTAACAGATAAAGATTTACTACACACACACACAAGGGAATATTTATATTATTCAGTCATGAGAAAGAAGAAAATCCTGCCCTGTGTGTGTGACAACACAGATGGACCTTGAGCATATTATGCTAAGTGAGATAAGTCAGACAGAGAAAGACAAATCCTGTATAGTATCACTTATATGTAGAATCTAAAAAGCCAAACTAGTAAAAACCAGAGAGTAGGATGCTGGTTACAAGGGCTTGGAAGGTGTAGGAATTAGGGAGATATTGTTTAAGGGTACAAATGTGCAACCAGTAGATAAATAAGTCCTAGACATCTAATGTTCAGATAGTGATTATAAGCAACACACTGTGTTATAAACTTCAAATTTACCAAGAGACTATATCTTAATTGTTCCCACCACAATAAAGAAATGATCTTGTGATGTGATAGAGGTGTTAGCTAACTCTATGATGGTAATATTGCAATATATAAATGTATCAAATCAGCATGGTGTATACCTTAGACTTACGCAATGTTATATGTTAATTATGTCTCAGTAAATAAATAAAATGCACTTTTTACCTGGTTTCTACTTGTCACTCACTTCTTACTCTTCATCTGACACTAGTTAATAATATCTTCGTATTATGAATAACTTTTATATTATGAACTGTATATGGATTATGAAGATCTCTTTTCTACTGATGCCATCTTAATGTGTGTATGTAGGACCAAATGTTCTAGTATTCAGTGTTTCCTCAGTGTTATGTTTTTCCCCCCAGTGCCTTTGGACATATCTTTGGGCAGCAGATGAAATGAGATTTTACATGTCGCAGCTTCACACATTATTCAGGTTTCCCCTCTTTTTGGAATTCCTGTCCTACTGAATGTCACTGTCGTACTTCCATGTCAATGGGTGTCCTACTCATCCTTCTTCCTGCT